GGATTTGTTTTAAAAAAAATTGATAGTTTTTATTAAAAAATGTGTATTGAAATTGACTTCAGAGTGAGCACGGGCATCCGTGTTGCTGTTCATGAACGGCCGACGTTTATTTTCCACTCCACCTTTGTAACAACAATAGATTGCACTTTGTAGAGTATAATGCTGTTAAACATTCATCATTTTTAACTTATTTATCTTATTTTAACTGAAACAGCACTCCGAATAGAACTGTAGTCGTACATTATTAATCAGTTCCAACGGAGCCTAATTTGGGGTCAATAATTGCTAGGGTATAATAGCGAATTTACTCGAATCTGTCTGTATTCGGGATAATAGCATATGCAGAAATATTACCTCTACCTCTACTATTATATTTGCAGAATGGAAATGCATAATTAATCTGTTAGTAATGGTTTACCGCATGAATATTTTCCGGATATTATAATATTATATATTTTGGCGCAACGTACTTAAAACAGCTCCGGGCTTAAAATGGAGCAAATAGAATTTCATTATTAATATAGTTTGCCGGGTTTGAATATGAATTTCTAATGATAAATAAAGTATTCACTACAGTTAATATTGAGGCTACGATGCACTAGTCGTATTTATTTTTTATGGCTTATAATGGAATCATGAATAATGCAATGGTGCATCAGCGTGCGCTAAAGGTATACGCTATCGGGGCACCGGTGAAAATGTTAAGATGAGTTTAAGGTCAGTTGAGTTAGCCCCTATTGGCAAATTCATCATAATTCACCACGATGATACCGTGTGGTCCAAGATGAACAACGTGATGATCGACAACACAAGGTACATTGTGAGCAATCGGGTCACTGGTGCCTATTACTAATCGTACTACCTACTACTTATAGATATGAGCAGAATTTATTGTACTTAGAGCAATGTCACCTTACGTATCATTAGACATAGTAACTATTAATAGGAATGTGCCCAAATAGTAAAATCACTACAAGTATCCTTCAGTAACAGTTCTATCACTATTCAGAGACTTTATGTCTCTCCTCACTCAAGGGCAACTTTAATACTTTCAATCGAAATTTTGTCGAAAATATTTACGCTCCGGTACTCGGATTACTCTATTATAACACATTTTTTCTAATTTTTATACTTTCTTGTATAGTTCATGTGAATAAGCTATGTTTTTTTTACCTTTTTGGAGAAAAAAAGAGTTTTTCAGTTACGTTTAATTCTAAACTAAACTTGTTTATAGTAATCTGGCTGGTATGAAACGTTGATATTATCTTGTTTTCTATGTATCTTATGTATTTACGAAAAAAGTGTATATGTACTTCTATCAGTTGTATAGTACCCATAACACAGGCTCTGCTTAGCTTGGGACTAGATGGAGCTGTGTGAATTTTCCTCAAATATTATAGTTATTGACAAAAAAAATTATCTATTTATGATGATGATGATGATGATGGCGGTGATGATGATGATGATACTATCCTAGCTGGTCTGGCTACTTCAATTACTTTAAGGACTCCCATGTAGGCATTGTATTGTTGTATTATGCATTTATTATTTTTTATCACTGATCTGGTCACCCACAACACATCTCTATTTCTCTTGGGACTAGATGGCGATTTGTGAATTGTTCTAAGATAGTATTACTATACGGGTGTGTAGCTGGCCACATAAAATGGTCAACTTGTGGCGACGTCCTCAATGAACATGGCACTTCCATGAGTGTGAATAAAGCTTCGACGACACCCAACACTGTGTTGCACCTGCTGAATTTTAAAAATACTAAGGTAGCCTCAATTACGACATTGTTGTACCTGGGACTGTGCAGGCCACACACAGGTAGGGTATTTTGCGACAGTGCAAAATAAATACCTACGTACAGTAGTCATAAACTGTCGGAAAACGAATGACTTGTGGGTTTTAACTAATTGCAATATGATTGTCAGCACTTTGCTTTATTTTAGACTAGTCGCGCATAGTTGGATATTTTTCTCTACTTCATTTATGCAAACGGAGTTGTCATTTGCCTATTTTCGGTTATCGGTTCTTCGATCTATATAGCTGGCCTAGTTCCACTTTTGTTTGTCGTTCATCTGGCTATATCTGTCTCCTCAGTTTAGCGGACCTTAGTTTCTACCTATTATATTTCGATGGCCTCGGTAGTCTAGCGGTTCAGCATTGCGCTCTTCTTCTAATCGCTGCTTCTATTCCTCGCATGGTACAATCATTTGTATTAATGAGTATAATTGTTTATATTGGTCTGGGTGTTTTCTATGTATATTATGTATGTATTTACAATAAGCAGTTGTTTAGTTATGGTTACAACACAAGCTCTGCTAGCTTAGGAATAGATGAGAAAGAATGCATTGTTCAGATTTATTGATATTATTTTTATTTCTAAAATACAAAAATCGTGTATGAGGAAAATAAAACCGTACCGGTGAATATACGAATTTCATTTATTTGTTTATTTAATAAATAAATAATTGACGCTCGCCCGGGGTGGTACCTTCATCGCTTTATTGAATTTAAAGCTTCAATTTGTAATTCTTATCCGCGCCGTGGAGGGAGACTGCTGAGTGACGTCCCTGCGTGCGCCAGAACCAAATCTCGCCTCAAATGTATTTTACATATTCGTGTTTAGTTTTGTCCCCTTTGTCCCATTCTTACTGAGATTTTCTAAAGGCTAAAAACTATCAGTTCATGCCTCTGTTGGGCTTAATTTTCGGCTGACATCTGTCATCTGTGTGTTTTTATACCCCTGGAATTGAAAACGTGCTGACGTCATATTCAATGGTAAGTTGACATGGACAAAACTATAGATATTACAATATACATTTACAAATGTAGTAGGTACGTACTTATTACACGTTATCATTTCTGTGTACGTATTTTCTCAGTACTCTGCATTATACTTGTTGTGCATTATACATTTTAACGAAGAAATACGAGCCCGATGACTACTTAGAAATTGTAATAATTATTTTTTTGTACTTATATATACGAAACGTTCGATCGCCGTCCTGTCGATTTCGATACTCACTCGAGATATTGTTATGTAAGATATTCGTAAAACAGCGAACGGAAATTGAGATAAAAATTCAGTCAAACCGAAGACAAAAAATGGTAACTCATGCATATTTAAATGAACCCAGATGATGGCTACCAAATAGAAGCTGCCTCGGAAATCGGTCAAGTACAAATATACGATGTAAACTGACGATATTTTATAGATTCTAGAGTGTCGCCTGTTTATAATAATTTCACTCATTCATTCATTGTTTGTGCTTAGTGGTAACCGAAGGTTTCCTGCCTACATTATTGCAAGGGCCTGAGCTATGTGCATCCATGGACTTCTTGCAACTAAATAAAAGGTTCACGGATCTCTGCCTGATTCCTTTTCATTGAGCAATGAGAACGTGCCACTTATATGGTACCAATATTTAGATTATCCGCGCTTATAAAGTGATTATGCGTGGACTATAAGCTCAACAACGTTAAACCTATTTGAAAAATAGTTTTAACTTTTAATGATACAGTGTTCGATGTGTGATGATACAAGGTACGAAGTACATATTATTTCTATTTATTTATAAAACCCGGTCGAGGTCAATCTATAAAGCAAAGAGGGTCGATCAGGTCTTAATATCATATGGTTTCAGAAATGACGGAAATGAAGAAAACCTGATTAATGTTACGATGTGTACTAAATGTTCGAAATCATACTAGAAATAGTGAATATAGAGTAATTACGTGATACAGTTTTATTATTTAAAAATAAGGAAGACTCAGATAATTTGATAAAGTGGATACCTATATCACACACACAAATACACACAACTACAACAAATTTTATAAATTAAATGAACCTTGTGCTATGTTCGTTCTATTATATTCTTAATTAGACCCAGGAATGCACAGGTATGTTTTCGTAGGTAACAACAATGACTGATTAATGTTATGGCACTACAAAGGTGGAGCCATGAGGCTGCCGTATGCTTATTAAGTACACTGTACTCTACTTGCATAACTCGTGTCTCGTGTTAAGGCTCGCTGAATATGTTTTCATAATAAAACATAGTTATATAACAGTGGTTTGTTCCGCAATGGCGTGCCAACCCCAATGGGGAGGAAATAAACCTAATAAACCTTTCCTATACGTTATATGACACTATTGTGCTTAGGTAAGTTTAAAATATCACCAAAAATTTCACCCGCGTTAATTTTCAATATATATATTTAAAAAAATATAGCGTATATTTTATTCTGACGCATAAGCTATATAACTGTAAAGTTTCATCAAAATCCGTTCAGTAGCTTTTGTAACAAACATCCACACTTACAAACTTTCGCGTTTATAATATTAATAATAATAATATATATACATATTAATATAATATATATATATATTAATATAAGATAATATGCGTGGTATATAATATGTATATGGAATAAAGAAGGTGTATATGAAATAAAATTTAGTTTACCTACATCGGACAAAATTATCGGCTAAATATAATATAATGGATGTAGTCCGTAAATTCATAACCACAGTGTCATTTCCACTGTAGTGTATATCCCTAGGATGGTGGTAGACGGCTACTGACCGACGAAGCCGACGCGGCCGCGACTGCCGTCGGAAAACTACCTCCGGCTTCAGTTCCCAACGGGCTGAATGCCCTACGTCTCGTGACAAGTTGCGGATAATTATTACTTATCTAGTAAAATATAACTTGACGGCGACCGAATATCTTGCCGTGTAACTGTACACGGTGAGTGTTGCTATACTTAACGAAACAATTGTTATGTACATTTGTAAACAGCGCTTTCGAGTCACGCGTCAGCGATATGCATACATACCTACCTAATTATACAAAAACGCGTATACCGAATTCAAAAACTCTCACTGGTTCGTCGAGCGGGCCGGGCGGGCGGCCGGGCGGCGCGAGTGCGGCGCGCGGGCGACGCCGCGCGCTAGCGTCACTTTTTTCGAAGCCTCAAGCTCGAGAAAAGCTCAGTGCTCGGCTCGTGGCGGACGCGAGCAGCCGAGGGTCGCGGACGGCCGGCGGACGACGGGCGCGCACGGACACCGGACATGTGCGCAATATGGACGTGTGGAGCGGCCGCCCGCCCGCCCCCTGCGTACGCGCACCACCGCCCTTGAACATTGAGCCCCGCCACGATTTTGCTCTTACTTTCTTTGAGAGCAAAGACGAACCGCCGGCGCCGCAGCCAAAGCAAGGTCTGTTTGTAGTATTTTTTATGATGTATCGAAATTGATGTGGTTCTTCAATAATGCGAGAGCCATCATTTGTCATCGTTCGGCTGTGGTGATGCTTTGGAAAGACTAGTAGTCCTATATAACGGTTGTCATTTCGTCCTTATGTTCTTCACGTTTGTTCTCCCTCGAGATACGCAGCGGTAACGTTACCGAGTAATATTTTAGTTTAGAACTACTCGCTCATTCAGGTTGCATTGGCCAACTTGGTATAGAATATAATTGTATGTATCGAGTGCATTGAAAGTTTTTTTATTCGATTTTTAACATAAAGCTGTTAATAAAAACGTACGAACATTTTCTACTATTGCAGTTCAGAGTAATGTGAATAACATTTAGCTTAGAAGTTTTTATATGTGAAATGTGAAAAAGTAAATATATATATATATATATATATATATATATATATATATGTATAAACATACAATTCAAATAATTTGTTATATTTATCAATTTCTATTAAACATCATCTGTCCTTGCATATGTGGTGGCTAAAAATTACTGCAACCAAAAGTAAGCGAAAGAAAAATGGGTGCTATGACGAGCTACAGCAAGGAACTAGAACTAGGACTGTGCACGAGCAGACCGGGCAGGTGTTGATTTTTCTTATTCATTTATTATCCCGTCGTAAAGTGTGTCTTTCCTGTCATCATTGTTTGACGGCCTTGGTGGTCTAGCGGTTTAGCACACCGCTTTACTTCCGATAGTTGCGGGTGCGATTCCTCGCACGGTGCTAACATTTGGAATCACGAGTATGATTGTTTATATCGGTCTGGGTGTTTTCTATGTATAATACATATGTGTGTATTTACAAAAAAAATATCAGATGTCTAGTACCCATAACTCTGGTCTCACAAGCTAATCTTAGGACTAGATGGCGCTGTATGCGCGTACTATTAAGAGGAGATGTAGGTATGTAGTTTATCCGTCACTTGGTAAACATGGAAATTTGTTTACGCCGCTGATAATTAATTTTGACGGATATAAATTACTTTGTTATAATTATCCAAGTTGTAAATTAGCACGCAATCTAGTAAATGTATATTACTCATTACATTCTACGAATCAAAACATTAAAAAAATCTTTAGAAACAGGTACTGACTCAATTTTTTTATTTTAATAATGTAGTAAAACAAACAATAAGTAAAGCAGAGGATGTTGGTCCCGTGGTCGACCGTTACATTACTATGTTATGTATCCAAATCTAACTATAACCTATTAATAGGAAAATCCGATTGGCATGAGAATATTTCAAATATACATATTTATATTTTAAATTAATATTATAACATAAAAAACAGTATACATATATATCTAATACAATACAATATGTACAAGAAATATATTTTTTAAATAATATAATAATATTTAATCAGAAATGTAACATAATACATATAGGTAAAGTACCTAATCACATATTCACAACTGTCTGTTGTGTCCCATTATATGTCTCTTCTCAATTGAATCTAAATACTGGTCTGAACGGTAGGGGGAAAAATATTATTACAAAGAATTTCATGTTACTAAGCGGTCGAAATGTCCTACATGAATAAATGATTTTTGATTTGTCTTCGCACAACTTTAACTCTACTTTCTGGGGCATACATATTATTATGTACTCGATAAAAAAAATATAGGCATATATTTATATGCACACTTTATAATGATAATAATTATTATGCACTTATAATATCACCATCAGGTACTCTATGTGACATCAAAGACGATGGATTCAATATAATTGATATTTAAATGGAAATAAAACTGTTGCCGGGTAGCTATTATCCGATTGAAGTGCCACCGCGTCGTTTGCCTAAGGCTCCATCCACTTCATAATGATACGAGAGTAGGCACTTCTTGGTATCACTGAGTAAATTAATCTAATTGATTTATAAATTGGCAAAATTTTGTTTATTATTCTCAAAGTATTTGCTTAGCAATTTAATTGTTTTGACTAGTTTTCTACATACAATATACCTCTATTTACAATAGTAGCATTATGTATATAATGATATAGCGCGGCAACACAATTACTCTAGATCGGTGCAGATTGAATGTGATTTCATAGTATGAAGATAGATTGATAGATAAAACTTTTATTGGCGATAAAAAGCACACACGGTTCAGTAATGTAAAGAAAAAAGATACAAAGTAAACACACAACTATATTGGTCGGTTATCAATATATAATTTAAGTACAAAATCATATGAGTAGAGTAATGCACTGTGTGTGTGCATCGCCCATACGCAAAAAAGCTAGCATCAATATGTTGCTTGCTCTAGTAGAAAAACACTGATTTTCAGGTAATGCCTAGGGACATATGCGAGTTCTTATGTAACACAATCGCCGAATCCACCACCCCAACTACTTTTAATTTAATTATCACTAATAGCAATAAAAATCAGTGTAAATAACAACAATAGTATAGGTGTCACATAAAATAAACTGAAAAATTATTAAAAATCGATAAAATGAAATAAACAAGAAATATAAACGAAAAAATAAAGTTGTTACAGACTACAAGTCTGTATATGGAAATTCTAAAAATTTCGTAGTAACAAGAGTAAAAATATATCATATATTTTTACTCTTGTTACTACGAAATTCGACTTGCATATAATCTTATAATGAGGAGGAGGGGTAATGCAGTTGAAGAGCAGTTAAATAGACTGCCTATCTATTGCTAAAAACAACATTAAAAACCTTTGCAAAGTTTAAAAGAAATCTTATAATGGTAATACTGTGGAAGTGACTTTATTTTATACTATGCAAAGATACTTATAAAAACTGTGAAACTAATACAAATAAATACAGACATATATTGTCGCAATAGTCGATAATAAGGCTGTGTGTTCAGCACCTAGACAACCGAAGAAGTCACATAGTGAAGCACTGGTATGCTTAAGTTTAATTATTTTATCGATAACCAAATTGCACGTCGTGACTGATATAATAATGTGCAAACTAGGTAGCTGACTAAAACTTGTCTACATTAACTGTAGCGGAAGTTATTCATGAGTGTTAGAAGTTTTAATTTTATATATATATATATATATATATATATAATCATGTAATATATATATTCTGTAATTTCATGATAAATGTAATTAGGAATACGAAAATTTTATATTTGAAAGATTGTCAAAAAGTAACGGATAAAATAATCTCCAAAAGATAATATTAGCTGGAAACATTGAAACTTTTTATTATAAATTCAAAATATTATCTCTTCAATGATTACGGTCTTTCTAATAACCAGATTAAAATGAGATCACCTCTTAAATACCATAACGCATATATTTGACGGCCTAGATAGTCTAGCGGTTTAGCGCACCGCTGTACTTCCAATGGTCGCGAGTTCCTCGTAAGGTGCAAACATTTGTATTCATGAGTGTGATTGTTAGAATCGATATGTATGTATTTACAAAAAGAATATCAAAGTATTTATACCAGTTATCTAGTACCCATAACCCAAACTGTGTTCGCGCGGACGCGCCCGCGCCCGCTTCAGCGCCCGCGCCTGCTGTGTGTAAGGTTTGCTCGTGTGGCCGTAATGGGCTCGTAAAGATACATCGACACTGGTCGCTTAATTTATGTAAAACGCGGGCCATTTACCGTTAGGAATTTATTGCCTTAATGTTACGCTATCGCATACATTTTATAATAATAGATTTTTTGTTTTCATCACTGTTTTTATGATATGATTCCAATTCTGCTACAGTGTTGTAATTTACTTTTCTACGACTATAGGTATAGTGCTCGTTAAGGATATATAGGCGTTGAGGAGATGAGATTGTTACTTGAGATTAGTGGCTGGTAAGGTATCTTGTCAGGCTGAGCACCACACCGTCCATCCTAGAAACTGAAATGTCTGACTTCATCTTCAACTGCATAAAATATATAAAAAAACAATTACAGGATAAGTGCATTGTCTCGTTCATTCATTCATAATTTAACAGCCGTGCTCTTGTGCTAGCTCGGTGGATATCTTGCCACTTCCCACGATTACCATCAGTCTGTTTAAATTTATTGGAGATTAATACCTTTTTAAAAACTAATTCAGGGAGATTTTATGATACATGGTCTACTGTTGCTTTCAATTGGCTCTATAGCCCTTGCTGTTTTATTACTTACAAAACAACTTCTTAAAATTCAACTTCTTTGAAATGTTGGTTCGAGCTGGCTGGTCAACCCGAATCTGCAGAGTTTAAGAACTTGATGAGTTGGTATTTTATGATTTTTTTATTGTATTATTCAGGCACATCCAATAATGTATCGCGTAAAATTAAAAAAAGATATAGTGTCCATTTGCGTTCTTTCGTTTTTTATATCGACTGAGGTACATGCAGTGGCCCACGACCGTATCGTGTTTAACAAAAAACATATTTCTCAATGTATCCGAATAAAGATTGTTATCTTTACCCTTACCTAAAAAATAACACATAAAGTGATACCAACATATGACAGACGCATCGACTTGTGCAGCTGAGGCGTCAGTATGAATACCTGAGTACGATACGATACCTGCTTTTTAAAGTTATTTAAATACAAACTATTTATTTATTTAAGATAACATTTTCCCTTCCCTTTTTATTATTGGTCTATTTATCTAATGGCAGATCAGGTTGCAGAAAGCTAGGAAGATCATAGAGCGACGAGCGGGGACGTAGTGGGGTATAGAAGGAATCTGGAAAGGGGGGGGGGCGGTTATTGACCTCGAACGTTATGCAACAAGAGTCTGATAAAGACTCTGCGATGTTGCGCCTTCGCACAACAACGATGCGACCAACCGCTGCCTTCTCGCTCGACTCGGCCGGTTTAGGGTCTGTGTAGTACCACCTACCAGTCTATCGCCACGGCAGCGTCCCGTCACTATTTACTAGGGGTTCGTCATTAGATATACATCTGTGGATATCTATACATTTCTAACCTGAACAGAACTCATTATCATTTTGATTTCTC